ATTTTGGATCAACAGGTATTCTATTTTACAAACTCAATAAACATGAATCGAAACTCATACAAACAATTTGTTAATTGATGTAAATTAGAAATTAAATTATCATAAATTCTTGTAACGATATAATAAACGTTGATCTTCTATTGTGAATGATTTTAATAATTACTGTTTTTACTGTTAATTGGAATAGATTAGAATTAAGCGTAACTTTGTACTAGTGATAATTAGCAAGAAAGGCAAATAAATATATCTCGAAGAATTCATGGCAACAACGGTGAAACGTATCACTTGACCCTGATCATCTCTATCGCAATGCGTCTAGAAGAAGCAGTATGATGCTAAAGAGCACCGTGTTATACCATAAATCTTAACATTCTTTCCACGCATATCTTATGTTTAAAATATTCAAATTCCATTTAAATAACAATACGTAGTGCATTTTTGGTCTACAACAAATCATACATTTTTTTCCATGAAATAATTCTAACAATAATAATTCAAGGAAAAATTATAATTAGTTCACAATGTGATATATTGAAATTTAAATTCCAAGACAAATTTGAATCGAAGACAGTTTTTTCTTCTATTCATTCTTAAACTTTTGTTTCACAGAGAAGAATTCATTGAACCTTTCATCTTGAAATTCTTGATTGAAACAAATAACATATAACCAACAATATTACAAGGAATATTTACATTAACTTTCTAGTTTTCTATTTATCAAATGAAAATTAATAGAAAAAATCAATCACTCATTAAGATTAAAATTTTCATTATTCATGCGCCATTGCAAAAGATAGCAGTGGATAGTCAGATAAAAGTGGACATCCGTCGTTTTGGCGGCTTTTTTGCTGGTTGACGACTGTTTCCTGCAGAAGAAAATGATGCTAATAAACCACACAACTTCGAAATTCTCTTGTCATCAGCGTCTTCTTTGGCATTCACAAAATCCATACTGCTTCTATCGGATTTTGCCATTTTCGCGAAAGAAGTTGACGAATTTTTAGAGAAAGACTAAAAATGGAGAGGAGTTTGAGATAGCAGAATGGAATATGATTAGATGTGATAATGTGATAAAAATTAGAATCCTTCAGAAATTGTTCTATTCAAACTGAATTAATTATCGCATTTTGTTATGTCTAAATTTATCTGACTCACAGTCTGTAATAAATTATAGTGATATTAAGAGAAAGCCTTACATGTGGATTATCGGAATTATCAATGGATGGAAGACGAATAGATGATGGCGGACCTTGAACAGAGTGATGTCGTCGTTGTTTACGTTTACTTTCTTCTGCTATTTCAGAAACAGTTCGCGCATCTCTGAAATCACTCATTTTAATCGATTTAATATTTCTCACTGTTTGTTAGAAAAATCTGACAAAATGCACAAAGGTCAATTTTAGTTCACGAGAAGAGTAAATAAAATGGAAGATGAAATGAGAAAAAATTCCAAGCAAAATCTTAAAGGTAGATATGATAGCAAAACTAGAATTTAGCTAAGTTGTGCGGGAAATAATATATACTCCTTTGGTGATTTAGCAAAAAATTAATAAATTGATTTCTTTATAAAATGGAGAGCTAATTAACTCATTAAAAACTCAAGTTAAAAAAATGAGAAATGATCTTCTTTTCTTATCCTGTTACTGTGCTACCTTCTTCACATTAGCTAAAAGCAAATTAAAAGAGTTCACGGAAGTCAGTTTACGTACATGCTTATACATAAAGCATATTTGTATACATATAAATAAAATAAGTCTATACGATAATTATTTAAAAGACAAAAAAAACATTGAACAGTTTAGATAAGTCTTTATAAAAGATCAAAATTAAAATGATCCAAAAGAGTTGGCCAAGAATGGGGAATTATATCTGTAAATAACTTTATGATAGAATAAACAAACAACAAAGATTAAAGAGGAAGTAGCATAACTTACAAATGAAGATGTGCCACTTTTTCCAGAAATTTTTCGTCATCTTCTCTGTAAAAAGCACTGTACACAACAATGAGTATCTGTCCGTGAAATAATAAATAACTAAATGAGAATCCGTATTGTTATTTTAATTGCGAATTTATTGAATTTCTGTTAATAAGTGATTTTGATAGCGATCAAATATTTCACCAAGATTTAATTCATATCATTTTTTTCAAAAATAAAGATTCTCATTTAGCTTTGTACAAACACAACATTTAATGACAAATCGATTTATTCAACTCTTCGATTAATTAAATTAATAATTCAATCAATGAAGGAGTCATGGAAAAGTCATTCTAGTTGAAAATTGAAACGAGCGTATAGCGATTTAACTCAGTTGTTATTTTGCAAAAAAATATTGTGCAATTCAATTTTATGATTTATTTATTGCTGTTGTTCTTGAAATGATCCAAAAATAGAACTGAAAAATAAAACCATTCGAATTTTATAATTATGATTACAAATAAAAAGTCGCTACTTTGATGAAATTTCAAAACTACTCGTAATATGCAAAATTATGCAAAAACTGCTAGTAAATTATGAATAAGAAGAATTTATAAGTATAACATTATTGTAAATATGAGGTATTTGAGTGAAAAGAAAAAATTTCTAATTTAAATTGTTAAAGTCATTCCAGTTAATCCACACAATATTACTTTGATATTTCGATTTATGGTAATATATCCGCTTTCTGAATCAACAAGTTCAGAAATACACAAAACCTAAATTAATTCAGATCACCTGAAGCAGCCTGAATTAACCTGAACTGAGCTGATGTGTGATTTTTGAGAATTTTAGTTTTGGTTCCAATTTTGTGCGTTGTTTAATTTCAAAGATCAAAATGAAACAGTTATCAGTGTTCAATTGCGATACTATCAATGTTATACATCAAAGATCATTCACTACATCAAATATTATCGTAATTTCCTTTTTTTTTTTATTTTTTTCATTTGCTTGCAATTTATTACTTCTTTACACTTCCTTCACATATCTTCAGTCTTGACTTTAATTATTATTCGAAGAAAGTTTTGATCTTATTTCTATAAAAAGGCTTTAATTAAATTCTAAAAAAAACTTCAGTTTTTTACAAACCTTTTCATAGTTTTCAAACAAATATTCTCATTCAGAATAGAGAAAGTAAGGCCTTAAAATTCTTGCGTGAAATGACCAATTTTTCATTATAATTAAAAAACTCACCTCGCAGCTTTTTGAATTCGTTCGCACTGCATTTCTATGCTGGATAACTTCTTCTTTCTCTCCTTGTTCTTCTAAAAAAAATGTCAAAATTCAAAGATCATTAAGAACAAAATCATTGCAGAATAAACTCTCATTTCTTCCATTTTAGCATATTCACTTTCTAAATCATTAAAAAATCATGTACTGATACAATCATCAATTTACTAACGTTTTATTGAATTATGTATGCAATGGCAATGAAATGAACTGTTCAAATTTTAAATTTTCAAGGTATTTTTAAAATATGTTGGATTCAAAAATAGAAACAGATGGCTTACGAGAATTTTTGATCTTTTTGCACTAAAACTGTTTTTTTCTAAATTCTTGCTATTTTATCATCATTTTGTATCTGTTCAAATTTTTTGACGGAAGGAAGACATTTTCTGGAAAAAGAAAAGCAAAAGCGATAGCAAAAAAAATGATTTGATTTATAATGCATCAAAATTGAATGAATGAAATATGTCACAAAAATTTCTTTTCATCAGGTACATCGTACTTCAATCGTCATTTGATGTGTGAAAAAGTTGTTATGCTTTTTTCATTTCTTTAATTTAATTATAACTAAAAAAGATTGTTTCACATCTTTCATCACTAGTTCTAGTTTCATTTTCAATCTAATGAAATATTATTCCCTGGCAAAAAACAGTATGTTTGCTAAATATGTTTGATTTATTGTTTTCTTTGGCAAATATTAAACTTTTCTTTCAAAAATTTTCTGTTTTTTCGTTGCAAGAAGCATACGAGAACAAGAATTGAGCTATAAATCTCCCTACTGATTAGTCAATCACTTATACCGCAACTCATTAATAATAAATATTTGAAAATGTACTGATTAAAACAGATGGAAATTTTTCATGTAGTACTTCTATTTCTTTCATTCTTCCTTGTAATATCTTTTCATGTAAATTCGATGTAACATTACTGCCTGAATGAAGAGATCATCGTGTGCAGTTGAAAAAAAGAGAGTCTAAAAGATGGGAATAAACATGTTTACGATGTTCGAGATAAACGGTGGATGGAAGAGAGACATCATTGATTTTACTTTAGTGCATAAATTTTAATGGTAAAAGAAATAAACTGAGAATGTATACGGAAAAATTCGAAAATGAATGAATATACATGGAAAAAATAGAGGAAAAATTCTTTTTTCTCAATTCAAAATATATAAATTTCAATCGATAAAGGGAAATTTTTAAATTGTGTTTGTTTTTATTTCTTTAGACTAATTAAAAATGGAGACAAAACCTGAAACAAACATTTCATGATAAATATAAAAGGGAAAGAGTTAAAAAGAGAATCTGAACAATCTTTCATATCATTATCATTTTTTGACGATGGAAATGGAAAACAAAAGTTAAAAAATGTCATCAAAGAAAGCAAAGAAAAGCATATTTGACCTGTTTTGTTCGAATTGCTTGTGCACCCAGCATTGTAGTTCACAGTGTCGAATATTGTGTAAGCATATCAGTCAAAAACTTATTGAAAGAAAACCGAACAAGAGGGCACTTTCAATCAGTCAAATGGCCAAACAACAAACATAAGAATTTGCTGAGCTAAAAAATATAATTGAAAAATTAGCTTTGTCTTTCTTTTCTTTTTACCAGATTTCTGCGATACAAATTAAAGCTATGTTCAATTTTTTACCAAATTATATTTAAAAAAAAGGTTTTAACTTGTTGGAAAATGTGTGTAGCTTTGAATGTTTAATTGCTTTAGAGTGTATTAATTGTTTCCAACTTTCATTTAATGTTCCACATTACTGCTACGATGTAACAGCCGAAATTTGCTTCCCCAAACATTGTTAACATAGATGAAGTTCACTATTTCACTTGCAAACTGAAGAAATTATCGAACTTTCGGTATACTAAATGAACTTGTAGGATGCGTAATCACAAACGGATACGAAACAACCGATCGATCATCCAAAGATACATTACTGTAAAGAGGGTTATTGACAGTATGAAGAAAAAAAAAACAAAAAAATAAATAATGTCGAGCCTGACGGGTTTTGATCACTTATTCTAATGGTAATTTTAAATTTAAAGGAAGAAAAAATGGAAATAATCCGTAATGTGGTCGTAATATATGAATATAAGAATCTAACATCGATGTCTTTGTCTTTCACTGATATTCTTTGAATTGATTGAAACGAAGAGAAAGACAAGAAAGTCCGGAAATTGAATAAGAAGGAGGAAAGAGGAGGAAAAGGGAGAAGAAGAAAGGAAGAAAAGGGAGCAAAGCGAAAAGGAAGAATTGAACTTATGTTAAACAAGTCAGTCTTTTAATTTTCTATTTATAGAATGACAAATGTTTCAGAACATGTAATCAATTAAAGAATGAATGAAAGCGGTTGTAAGCATTTCATTAACAGATGATAACGTATGACTCAACATATGAACGTATGAATGCTAACATATGGAAAGTATGAAATGAGCGATAAAATAGGTAGATGAATGACTGACATAAATGTTTGTTTTGATAAATATTGACCTCCAGTCTTAAATTTTGAAAATTTTCGCATCTCCTATTTATAGTCCCTATAAATGCATTTCTACTTTCTCTTCCCCTTAACTATTTGAATGTATTAAATTCTTAAGCCTCAAATTTCTTAAGATTTCTGATTAACTGCCAAAGATTAAACAGCAAAGCTATTTGAAATTACTGCCAACCAGCTGCGTTACTTAAAATCAAAAATTTCGAAATTTATTTCCGAAATAATTGCTTCTAGAGATATTACTCCTTCACTTTTTTTCTCTTTCTCTCTGTCACTTTCTTAATTTAGCTTGCCAAAGTGAAGATTACCAGTAGTTTGAAAGTCCCACATTCATCGAAATGACACTGATAACATTTGATTGATTGATTGGCTTTAAGGATATACTTGCTTTACGGCATCAAAAATGATTTATTATTTTCTACCAAGAGATGCTTTGCGGACACCGATTAAAAATTGCACATCCATGCAACTTCAGCTTCAAGGAAAAGTCGGTTTGATCAACTGAGTTTTTGTGGAAAATAATCTTAAGCTTGTATTTAGCTTATTTCAAGGAGATTAAAAAGCATGTATCACTGATTAAAATTTGAAAGTAAATTGGTAAAAAAAGGAAGAAATGAAACATTCTGTAACGAAAAGAAACGTATTTTTGAAAGAATATGCTCTCTTGCTTTCTGTTTTATCTATTTCAAATATTGAATCATTTTTGCAGTTATTCCCATTAAGGATTGTAACTAATACTCATTTTGTATTAACTTTTCAAAAAGGATTTATGAGAATGAAAAATGTCAGCTTTGTATTTTCTCGAATGTGAAATGTTTCAAAAGTGGACAAAATTTTAATCTATTTTTAAATCATCGAAACTACATGAAACCAACATTTCTTCAGTACTATTTGCTCTTATTCCAAATTAAAATTATCCTTTATAAAAAAGGTAAAGTAAATGGCACACTTTACGGTCCTTTATTAAATCCATAAAAAGGTTAAAAATTATTTCCCCAAATAATTTAATGCAAAAAAGATATTTATAAGAATTCCGATTGCTGTAGAAGTCTTACACATTCCTATTCAAATTTTATTTAAAATTAGTTTAGATCAGAGAAAGCTTCATGTAGCTTCATGTGAAGAGAGCATTAAAAGAAATAAGTGTTGCTATAGTTAACTGGTAGCGATGAAATATTCACAATGCATGATTTAAATTTGAGTCAGAATTCTTTCAAAGATATCCATTACATGTTAAAATTAAAATCCCACCTAATTTAACTAAACTTCTGTACAAGTTGAAATCAAACATGCATATCCTTGTTTAAATTTATAAAAAATGTCTGATATCATTCGCATAGTGTGAAAAGAAATCTTGAATTTAAATTCAAAATCTAATTTGAGTTTAAATGAACTAAACAACGAACAGATAATGCAAATGTCTTGCAAACAATTATGCTCTAAGCTGTTAAATAATAAGCATCGTTGAAATATACGTGAAGCAGATTGACTTTTTATGCGTGATTGGATCAAACGAAACTGAAAAGCCAAATTGGTGAGATTTTAGCATTATTTGTTCAGCGCTGGTTGTTGTGTAATCTGACAAGAAATCGTCGACCTTTCGGATTTTCAATTTAATAAAATTAGTGTCACACATAATAATGATCACGTTTATGAATAAAGCAAAAGATAAAAATGACAGGATTTATTCATGTAAGAAGATAGGGCCAACAAGAGTTTGTCATATTTTTCACAATTTTTTTACTGATCTACAATATATCAACATATGGATGAAATACGATTACCACAGTTTGTCAAGTTTTTCATATGGAAGAAGTTTTCACTGCCAATGAAAAATTATTTCTCTAATCGTAATTCGATATAATAAAAAATGACAGTAATAGAAGTGATCATTTCGCATAAACAAATGAATAGAAAATTGCGTTAATGAGAGCAATAATTTTTTGGAAGGCCAAAAAAGCGTGAAGAATGAAAAATAGATGAAGTTGAATGCATCCATTCAAACTTAAATCTCTAAATATATTAGAGAACTGTTTCATACAACTTTATGACAACTATTGCACTAATTATACTCGGAGTTTAATGAATGAATGATATCAGCATAGTTGTTATTTCTATACATATATCGAGTAAATGATATGCCTTTAATATCTATAAATCCAGTTTAAATTTAGAGTCTCTATGAATTAATAAAAATTAATATAAATTGTTACTAAAACAGAATTTATTTCATTTCAACAAGTTTAATTTTTTCTTTTTTCACCTTCATTTTATCTAATTAGTCTGGGAAAGAATAATTATTTGTTGCTGACTAAAAAAAAAGCTGTTGAACGCTAGAGTGTATTGCAACAAATAAAAGAATAAATGATTTTTCGGCTACTGAAATAAGTAAAATGAACAACAGATTTTAAAGTGAGAAAATATTTTATCTGCTGTAAAGTTATTTTAGTAAAAATCATAAAGCTAATAGTAAGTAGAAAAAAATCAGCTAAAAATTGAATCTTTTGGATCACTTTGGACAGTTTTTTTTCTCTCATCATCAATCATATTAATAATAGTTTCTCTCATCAAAATTTTGGGCGAAAGATTACTATTGCAAACATTTGAAAGAGGGCGACACGTGACATATATAATTTTGAAAAGTATGAAATATTGGATGCCATGGTGAGACACGCTTAACTTTCTCGTTTCAGTTCAAAACAAATGAGAAAGGCGAAATGATTTGCATGCATAATTAATATAAGTTGGATTATATTTAAGTCTTCTTAAATTGACCTTCCCCCACTATTATCTTATTGTATACAAACTAAAGCGGTCGGGTCTCAACTGTATGCCGAATTTGGAAGCTGAAAATCTCTCGATCCAACAGTTGATTGCTCTTGGTAAGTTAGCTTCATTTCATGATTTCTATCTATTTTGTATTTTCAAAAAAATAAACCCAAAAAAACATGAAGAAATATCATATCTATCGTAAATTGATAGCTACAGCATCATAGCATTCATAGAGGGATAATATTTTTAAATGGAATTGTTGGATATTTGATAAAAATTAGGATAGTTGATATAATATCTTAATTAAATAATGAATAAACTCAATCGGTATTAAAATAACAGTACTGAATGATATTAATTTAGTCAGTTCTAAAATAAACGAAAATGACGGAGAGGAACTAAAGCGCCGCGAAGATTTAATCCTGGAGATGGCCGAGAAACTGTCGAAAGCTAATGATATCGAAGGCAGTTAATGCATTTAATTTAGCTGAAGAATAATCTAAGTTGAAAAAAATTAAAAAACAATTTTTGAAATTTTCTGAAATCCAGTTCGAATTTTACATTAAATTACTCAACTAAGCAGGAGCTTTAAATTTGAAAACAAATTATATGTGTCATTTAGAAAACTCTTATTTTTCCCAAAATTTTTTTTTGAAATTTTTTCTACAAATTGAAGGATTAACGAAATTATTAACCTCGTTGAGACCAAATCTGCTTTCCTACGGTATGGCAAAAGCTGTAAAATTGATTCGTAATGTAATCGACTGGTGTCTCAAAATTGGCAAAGATTCTGATTTTAAGGTGATCATTAGTAATATGTCGAAATCAATCTATGCTTAACATACTGGTTATTACTAGCTATTATCCATAATCATTGTAATGATTATGGTTACGAAATCATAATATTTCTCACCACAGCTTGCATTATGCATGGAATATATTGACTGGGCCAAGCAACAAAATCGAATATTTTTGCGGTATATACTTGAAGTACGCTTGATGCGCTTGTTAAATGAAGTAGGACGATACACCGATGTGTTGACCATGGGTGAGTTTGTTTCACATAAAACGTATCCGGAAGAAGTGTTCGTTTTAATGATGTTTCATTTTTGCTAATACAGAAATTTTGAGAGAGAGAGAGAGAGGGAGAAAGAAAATACTTCCGAAAATTCCACTTCATCAGTTCGTATCACTTTTACTTTCTCTAATCTCCTCTCCACTTCCTTTCGTTCACTTTCTTCATTTTAATATGCAAATTGGAACTAAGGACTTTTTTATTAAGCGAATTTCGAATTACATTTTTCCTTCCTATCGTCAATTTCAATACATTTATAATTAGATGTACAGGTGCAAAATTGAGGAATGAGCTAAAGAAAGTTGAAAACAAGGATATCCAATTGGAGGTACACTTGGAAGAGAGCAAAGCAGCCTTTGCACTTAACAATTTGAATCGTTCTCGTACGGCGCTCGTGGCTGCACGGACTATAGCCAACTCTTCATGCATTGAAACTAAATTACAGGTTGCTTCTTCCATGATTCTACAATATATCTACAAAGTATGCTGAGGAGATTTCTTCTGTTATTTGGTTGAGAGATTTCAGCGCTTCATTCTTTCTCAAACTAAAGTAATTCTTGTAGTTCAGGCTCAACTCGATATGGCATCAGGAATATTGAATATGGCGGAAGATCACGACTTTAAAACAGCTTATTCATATTTTTATGAGGCGTTTGAAAATTTTGATAGTAATGAGGATGAAGTCAATGCTCGAAAAGCTCTTAAATATATGTGCCTTACAAAAGTATGCTTTTTCATTTTCAAATTACGAAATATTTGTCATCTCAAAAATTTGACATTTAATTGTTTTAGAAAAGAAAGATCAAATTTCACTTCTACGATCTCTCATTTCAAAAAATTTTCATTCGCTTCTTTTTCAGATTATGTTAAATGAAGAAATAGAAGTGCAGTCATTGTTGTCCAGTAAACAAGCAATGAAATATTCGGGTCGTGACCTTGATGCTATAAAAAGTATAGCAGCAGCATTTGACAATCGATCTTTGCAAAATTATTACAAGGTTTGTATTTATGACTTATGTCCTTGCATACTTTTCTGAAGGAAGCATAATTTTGTATGCTTGCCTGACTTCTTACAAGTAAAAAATCCAGCATTAGGGGATATCTGTTAATTTTTTACTTAAGAATTCAATTTTTGTTTTTTTAAAGATTTTAATAAAATAATTAGAAAAACAAGATTTTTCGAGATATAAGAAAATTTCACAGGCAATTGAAGAATATAGTACGGAACTTCAATCAGATTTTATAATCCGCCGATATGTTGATTCTCTTGCCGATACGGTACTTGAAAAGGACATCAATCGAGCTATTGAACCCTATTCTCTCATTGAAGTGTTATCGCTTTTTTCTGCAATTCTTCGGATTTTTATACTAAATTTCAAAATTGTATATTGATAGAATTTTAATTAATGTTATTTTTATTCTGATTATTGTGATTTCAAGTAAATTTATATCAAGCTTCTCCTTTATAATTCTTTTAATATTATTCCAAAACATTTATTTTCAAAATATTGATTTTCAATCCAAATTTAATTCTAAAAAATTGAAATTCTAAATTGGTATTCTAAGATAAGAAAGTTTTGGTTCCAGATGGATACATTAGCCAAAAATATCTGCATTTCAATTGAACAAGTTGAAAGGAAATTGGCGCAAATGATTCTTGATAAAAAATTCCAAGGTCAGATTATAGCTGTTTCTCGGACATTTAGATGTAATTCAATTTTTCCTACTTAGTTATCCATTACCTGAATTTCTAACAAATAGCACAATTTTGAATGAGTTTTTCACCAACAATTTTTTTAACTGCTAGCAACTGCAATAGACAGTGAATAATCAGGTATTAATATTGATTCATATGTATTTCGTCAGTTACTAATTCTTGTTTTCCAATCACTTCACAAAAGAATCTCCCAGTATCCATTTTAATTTGCTGATATCCATATTTAGGCATGATCGATCAACAGGATGGTACATTAACAGTGTACGATTTTCCACATGACGTACAAACAAAAACATTCATCGCATCGGTGGAAGTCATACGTGGTCTATCCGAGGTCAACTTTTAAATTTAAAAAGAGTAAGAAACTGGAAGGAATTTGAATAATATATTTGAAAATCAGAAATTGTGATCATTTACCACTTGACAAACACCGACAATAGCAGTCCAATAACGATTATCTCAAATTGATGGCTTTGTTTCAGACAGTTGATGAGATCTATTCCTGTGCAAGTATGCTTTGATCGATATCCTATTAAAATGCTAAAGATAATTATGCTTAAACTGCATAACAGTGATATATCTACCAAAGCATGAAGATGTGAAATAACAAATCATAAAGACTGATAACAGCAGCAATCAAATTTTTTGCAGACAAAAAATAACTTTTAAAATTAAGTGTTCAGATACATTATGTTTATTGATTTGAATATTAGCATCACGTGATGCTAAATTCTTTAAAATAAACGTTTACCTCTATACTTTACCTTGTATGGTCAGTCTCAGAACTACAGCATTTTGTATTGAAGCTATCAATAGCATTAACATTTACATATATTTTTGTCTGTAAAACTGAGAGGAGCCGAAGACAATCGTTAATTTAGGCAACTCGGCTTTTTTTATGATTTTGTTTGCGTGGCTGTTAATGGGAAGATTCCGAGCTAACGAATCCTTGAGAAAAGAAAGATATGTGACTTGTAGGCTTATTCCTGATGAATTTTGCTAACATGCTTACTTACCCAGATAATGGATTGGTATAAAATGTTTCGAATTGTTTCATTATGTTTTTTGTTTAATCAAACGATTGATTTTAAGCAAAACTTACTACTAATCTTTAAATGTTTGGACACCGAACGTTTAGCCTTATATGATAGCAATAAACTAGGTGAGCATAAGAACAATGGCTCCTGTGATACGTGAATTTTGATATTGACTATCGACACAGTGAAATGAGAGAAAAGATCTCCCCAAAGCAGTACAAACTGATTGATTAGTCTCACCAATGACTTGCAGTTTGAGCATGGTACTGATGCGACCGTATTAGTATAGCAGTTTCTTTTATCACTTCAATCTAAGAAATATTTTTTGAAAGATTACTAGAAGTCTTGCAATGGTATTGTTTCTGGATCCTTTTGTAGTTTAGTGAATTTATAATCACTACTGCAATAAAAATATATGGTTGAGACCCAACGAATAATATATGACTTGACTTCAATTTATGAAAAACTGAATTAAAGCTTACCCTGACTACATTATTTTAAATAAAATGAAGTCATAATATCTCAAAATTTCTTTTAATTTTTGATTCTTTCTATAATATCTAAATATTTTTTGATATTGAACAACTGAAAGTACTTTTTCAAGATATTTAAAAAATAAATTGGCAATTATATGATATTTAATAATTAATTTAAATGAAGATACAACTGATTCTAAAATATACAGAAAAAACTGCGGATTTATAGAAAATTAATTGCATACTATCATATGTAATGTAATCCGCCCATATCATTTCGAATTCCAAAGATATTCAGATAACGAAACGAAAAAATGTTACAATGTGAATAAAAGATATATATTTGGGTCAACAACGAAAACAAAACATCTGGTGACTCATTTAGGAAAGTGTTGGTCATGGACGAGATATGCTAAGGATTAAATTTTATGCTTATTTGGTACAATAACTGTTAACAATTAAAAGTAATAAAAAAAAGGAAATACAGATTCAGTTATGATAAGAGATCCAAGGATATGTAACTTTTTCTGGATATTCACAAACTTCCTGCAATGTCCAAGAAACAAGGCTTTTGGATACGGAATTTGAGATTCTCAGCCATCCCAGGTAAAGCTGAGAATCAGTTGGGTCAATCTTCCTATAGCGATGATAAAAATTCTTTATTTAGGGAATGATATGGATAAAAAGTCACTCACCTGAGAAAATACTCATTTTTTACCCTGTATTATAAATAAACTCAAACAAATGAATATCATATGCCATTGAATTACGTCACCAAATACAACCTAAACAAGAATTCTTCACATTCACCTTTCTTCTTTATCCAGTGCCTAAAATACTTCTTTGTTAATGAAAGATTTTAGCATGCAAGACTATTCAGTGATGGTATTTTTGAGTTATAAAACGATGTTATATAATGCACTAATATGCTAACCCTTCAAATGGGTTCAATTTCACCAAAAAAAAAAAATTTAGCCAGACAAATCGAAAGTTCCTAATTTTCGTTCATTCGGAAAACTTGAATATGTGAGTCATCGAAAACATGAATGTAACGAACACTAAAAAAGCAAAAGTTATACGAAACAAACCATAGACAATACATTCAGATCCATATTCCATAAAGTTCTCCATGTTGTTCTCTTCAACGTTTCGAATCGCTCCAACAGTTCACTCCTTTTTTCTTGCAAAATCAAAATTTCTTCATTGGTCAAGCGACAGAGTGGCATATCGAGCAAATATGCAAAATCTGGCGAACTGCGACTTCCGCCCTACATAAGTTAATTATATTGCAAGCACCGATAGTTCTATGATGAAATATTTTATGAATTTGAAATCGTGCAAAATGAAATTTAAGCAACGTAAACTAAGACTATTTAATTAAATTCATAATGTGCTTCACAAAATAAGGCAGTCATGCTCTTAATATATGTCCATTTGCATAAGATAAAATATTGACATCAACTTTACCGCAGCATTTTTCATCTTCAGCGGATTCGAATCAAATCCTTTCTCAACCAGCTGAGTTATAATTTCTGCACGGTTTCTTCTTTCAATAGTGATTTCACCATTAACAATAGCGTTTACAAAGCGAACCTAAACAAGTCGAATGTAAACTTAAGTCACTCATTGAGAAGTCTCAAAAATCTTGAAAAAAATCGGTCTGAGAATGAAGATAATTCCAGCAAGCAAATCATGTATGAGAAATGAAAGAGAAACAGAGCTCAGTAACAATTTTACCATAATGTGAGAAAAAATCATATTCTGCTGACATTTTCAGCCATTTTTTTCATATTAGGAATATTCTCCAATGATCTCTCTTACAATAAAAAAAATCAGATAATCTCAAGTAAAGAGAAGGGGCGGAAAAGGGAAAGAGAGCCTGTTGCTTAATGTTATCATTTATTGCTTGCGATTTACGCTGTTTGCTATTGTATAACTATATGAAAGGAAGAGTCATACAATAGCAAACAAACAAACAAACTTTCAACCTTTTCGAGCGCTGCTTTCGAACAATTAAACGAATTTTTTTTTCAGTGCGCTTTTTTATTTCCATAATGTTTTTTGTTGCCGCTGTTAAAACAAGCAAAATGGCAGTAATAAAAACAAACCCTGGAGTGATAACCACCTTTTCGGTTCCGTGTATTTGTAATAAAAATTTCAGCAACAGCAATAAAGCAGCAGATGAACATTTTTTTAAAAAAAAAAGATAATATGCACATTTTTATCGGAAAGTTTTAAAACGTGAGATTATTCAATTTTACCTGGTTCTCAGTAAATTTAAGTTTCACATCCATAGCTTTCAATTCATATTCCTTTCTCTCCATGTATTTTTGCCGACGTACTTCGAAAAATTCTTGAAATATTTCTACCGTGGAATTATATTTTCGCAGTGCGTTTTTTTCATCGAATAAAATCTGAAATTCCCATATTATATTAAATACGGTAAGATGATCAGGGAATACCAATAAGCAAAACATATAAATACTAATGCAAAATAAATAAAGAGATGAAAAATACTACATAAATGACACAATAATTAAGCACTATTGTAATTTAATTAACGATAAGAACTAAAGCATAACAATATTAGAAATCTATAAAGACTATTATAAGAATATATATAAACAACTGATCTAAACGCTTAAATATATTCAGTATATTAGGAATAGCTAAATCAATACAACACAACGAATAGATTGATAATAACATATGAATTTCAATTTCAAATGCGCAATAACAAACCATTGAGTTTTCACTTGTAACTGATTGTAATTTTAACAATCGATTGAGTGTCTTAATTTGCTTCGCGTCGCTTATCAACGGTTTATCAATCACATGAAGAATAAAATGTACATTGCTTTCAGTGTGTAATTCTTCATAATTACTGCAAAAAAAATGATTTGAATCGAATCTTTCTTATTAACAACAAATAAAACTGAACATCAAGATCATAAGAGGTAAGAATGAGTCATAAACTATATCATCAAATTATAAATTCTTTACCTTATTAATCCATTTTTGATGACAGAATCTAGCACCTTCTCCTTATATCTGTTATTCCAAATCCCAATGGGAAGCTCTGTTATTATTGCCTAAAAAAATATAAGACAAAATTTCAATCTTATAAAAAGCTTGCAGAACTCATTCGCAATAAAAATATTTTGAAATGAATTAAACAAATGCAAAAATTAAGAAATAAGATTATTAATAAATATTATAATCTTCACCCTAAGACCGTTTCTCAAACGACGATACGAAACTTTTCCAGATATATTGTAATGACGAGGTGCAGTTTCATCTATTGTGCCTTGAAAATTTCGAAAATGTGGCAACTGAAATTAATATAATTTTCTAGTAATAACCGATATTGAAAGCAAATAAAAGTTAAAAATTAAAAGATTGGATTTCCAATTAGAAAAACACGAAATAAGCCTATATTCTAATAGCAGAAATGAATAGTGTCTTCCTGACAACTGATATTACTAGAGACATGGATTTAACTATATTTGTATAAACTTGTTAGACAAAAACTAGCAAAAAAAAAGACTTTAAGAACGATACCGTTCCTAAAGTTTTTTTAATATTTTTATTGAAAGAATCATTAGACTATCGGATAAGTTATGTTTCCATCCTTACAATTCGCTGTCTTACCTATTTTCAACCAATTTACGACGATTCACTTCTATGTAGTAATGCAGAAGAAAAAAAATGGTAAAATAAGATATCATCAAATATCATAGCACAAGATTTTGAAAGCAATAATAATATATACCATCTTTTGAAGTGGTTGTCCATCAATAAGTCTTTGAGTGTTACTGATAATTTGCCTGGGACAACGTGGTAATATTTTTGTAGCCCATCCTGTACCAATCCCTTCTGCACCATTTATCAAAATCATCGGGATTATTGGACAATACCTAAAAAATGATTTCAAAAATTAGCATTCATTCCAAGTATATAATTCATTGATCTAGTTTTCAAGCTGAGAAAATCCTTAATATATAAAACAAGTTAGTTTTGTATTGAAATTTTATAACGATGGTGCACCGTAGAATATGATCATTTCAAAATAAATGTTAAAAAAGCAGTTTTAAAATACAATATCCAATCTTTCTTGATATATTTCACTTCTCTCTTAAAACAACAGAAACTGAGGAATAACTTACCATTCTGGTTCAATGAGTGTGTTTTCTTCTACCAAATATTTCAAAACTTTATCATCTGGACGTGGAAATATGGCTCGCGCAAGTGGACTGAATTTTTATAATTAGATGACAGCTAAGATTTCTATGGATGAGCACTAAAATGAAGCGCTCAAATAGAAAGATAGGGAAAAAAAATTAAGGGGCAAAAACACAGCTGTGAAAGATTTCAGCAAAGTTCTGCAGGTAAAAAAACTAAAGATCAATCTGCACACTGAGTGGTGACAAAACAAAGGGAAGACTTCAAACTACCTTAACGAAGTATAAATATATCGTGCACTCGCTGCATCTTCGCCACCTGCTAGACGTGTACCAAACTGACCGAGGGGTAAAAGAAGGTTTAAATTATTGGAACCAACGAAATCTTGAGCTAAACGAACGATCGTATTTACCAAAGATTCCTAGAAGATGAGTAAAATAAAAAAAGAATTGGTAGGCTGTTAGAATCAAACAAAAACAAATAGTGAAAAAAAATATATGAAGATTGCAGGTGACACTAAAAAAAATCAAAATCTACCTCCCCATGATGGTATCCACAGTATTGCGAAACAGCACCAGCTAGTTGACTTACTCGTACTTCACCACGTTCATAACGTCCAAACATTGTAAACAAAACTTTTCGTTGACTTGGTTTTAGTCCATCCATAATATTTGGTAGAGAACGCTGAAATAATGCTAACAGTCTCAATAATTGTTAAAAATAGTTCAAAGTTCAGTAGGGAAATAGAAATTTATAATACAGATTTTAATAAAATAGCTATCCTCATAAGTTTTCACACTTGTAAATTTATATAATCAAAAATGACTAATACTGCCTCCATTTCTTTCTCTTTTTGCTAATATTAACTTCGTTGACATATCAAAACTTTAACTTTTTAATTATAATTATGTTTATTCTATAATGCAACATATCAAAATTTGAATAAATCTCAGGAATTCAAACTACATAATATTCTATCCTATGATAATTAACAGCATTCATGAATTTTCCTAAATACAATATTTAAACCAAAATACAACAAACTCGCAGATCCAGTTGTGAATATTCTACTAATTCTTCATTGACAAATTCCGAAAAAGTTTTCTGATTGCGGCTTGAATCAACTGTACTTGATAGCAGCAGCTGTAATTTCAAACCATATCACAGAAGATTTTTACATGTTATCTAAAAACATATCCTTTATGCCCACATATAAGTTGTACCAAAAACCTACTTTACTGCTTTCAGCAATCCATACTTTTCGATCATCAGCTTTATTTTTCGCAAACGCAAGATCAATGCTTTCATCTGATGCCTTGCCATCGTAAATGAAATTTACTGTATGTCGTTCAATATCCATAAAATATTCTCGAGCTTCTTGAGCCGATGATGTCCCTAATCCTATAAGAATACGATAAAAATAACCATCAGCACCGTTTGCCTTATTAATACATGCTCATTTTAATAAAATAAGATAGCGAAACATTAATATCTTAAGAAAGTTTTCAGATGTAGGCCGTCAAACCTTTGTAATATTTTATCGAATATTTCACCGAATCAGGATTTTCTGTTCGCCATTTTTCATAATCATTTGTACTATAAAATGATTTGATATCGGACCCACGCTTGGCCTATAATAATATCACAATGTTATTGAATAAGAATACATTCGAATTCTCCAGACTACATACAATATATTCAATTTCTTTTTTCATTTCTTTAAACCACCGATATTCATCAAGTGCTCCATCATTCTTTCCATCTGCGTCTGTAATTCAATAAAAATGTAGAAATAAATCTCTCAAGAATCGCATGAAAACACTAAGCAATACCTTCAATAACGGAGTAATGAAATAATTGATATAATTAGCTTTAAGTAGCGATGGCCAATACATATGTAAAAAATTTATAATCAGTCCCTTGATATGCGATCCATCAGGGTCCTGTAATATTTCGTTATAGTTGTTAATATATTTGTTATATTAAAAAAAAATAGCATTTGAAAGAAAGAAGGAAATGCTTAGGTTTAATGCAACATGTGTGATTCTGCACAATGATATTGCAGTATTGTAATTTTTAAAAATTAGTACTTTTAAACAGCATGCAATATGAATATTACCTGATCAGTCATTATAAGCAATCGTCCGTAGCGCAAAGATTTTAATTTTTCGTCATTGTTATAATCTTCACCAAATTTTAATCCCAAAACCCGTGTAAGAGCCGAGATTTCAGCATTTTCAATGGCCTTTAAAGTCATTTTAATAATTACATCATAAAAAATAAACTTGAAATCGAGATGATGGATCTAATTTCTTAATTCATTTCCATCCACTGTCAAGTAAGTATGTAAAGATATAAAGAGTAAGTATGTATGTAAAGAGTTTGTATGCAAAAACTACATACGAATTCAAAACTACAACCTGCACATACATTATAGAACATTTCTCCGTTTAGTTATAAAATTAAATTTATTCAAAAAATTTTAAAGATTTTCCCATCTATAGAGAAGTGTGAGAAATTGGCAGCATATTACAAAATCGATTCTAATGCTAGGATGTTGATTTTCGGAAACCGAATCAGTCAGTAAATCTGGATCTTAAAACATCAACCATTTTAGCATCCATCCCTCGAACATTTGTAAGTTTCCCTCGAATTGGAAATACACCATATTGTTTTCGTCCAATTACAGCGAGACCCGCAACCGCGAGTGCTTTTGCTGAATCACCTTCTGTTACGATTAATGTGCAGTTATAACTGTTTTTGGTACCTGCATCAGCTGCATCCTCAAGTTTTGATAAATCCCACAATGATCGTCTCATGGAACGGTTCAATGAAACCTAAAATAAAATACTGATGGTTAGTTTAATCATACTGCAACGATCAACAGAAATCCTGTTTAACAATGCAATATAAATCCATAGATAAGCACGGGAAGAGAATAAAGATACACCGTATGTTGTTGACTGATGTCGCAGAGCAAATAATCGATGATATTGCTATCTTTAAGGAAATTTTCGTAAAATGACTCGGGTATAACACAAGTTGAACCAAAATTCTTCACTGATGTTGTAAGGTATTCTTTTGATTGCGATTCAAAGGCAGGATTTTCTATCAATGAATTCACGAATACATGGAGTCGATTTTTAATCTGAAAATATTTTACAAAAAAATTTCCATTTACAACTGATTATTTCACTGCTATTTTTAATATAGCTAAATTAGTGTTTTTTATCTATTATTTCACTGTTGCTTATTAACGCTAAGATGCAAACAACTTACCTTGTGTGTATTTATGAATTTTTCGCAACCGCAACGCTGATCTATTTCTTGTTTTAATCGCGATACTAACTGGTTCATAATATAATCAACATGTCGACCCCCCTAAATTAATAATATTATATCAAATCTTTTGATTTGTACACCAGTGTTACCGAATAAAAGTTTTGTTCGTTATGATTGGAGCCAGAGCAAATACAAAGAATAAAATTCCAGTAAATCAAATTTCCAAGAGCTTTAAATTTCAGTAAGTCTTTCTAAAAGCATGGTTATAGTGAAAAAAAAGCAAATGTAATCAAATTAACTACCCGCTATTTTTCTAAATATTTGCGAAGATTTTACCGATTTAATGATTTCATCGAATTAAAAAAAAACTAACCTTTAAAGTACTGATATTGTTAACAAAACTAATGTGCTGATATCCAGTATCACTGCGTGCCACAGCAATCTGCCATCGATTATTAACATCACAATAGAATGGAACGGTGGAATTTTCAACATTTTCATCAGTATTTGTTGAAAAGAGCTTCACGTAATCTTCGAATCCTGAAACCTTCAAAACAATGAGGTTATAAATCAATAGAAATGTTGCCAAATAGAACATACAATTCTCACTAAATACTTCACAGATTCAAGCTTATAATCTCTGAAAAAAAGGCATATCATTCATGAAATGGTACTATTTTAGAATGACAAAAATATTTGCTAACCTCGATCTTAGTTCCGTTCAAAAATACATGAACACCATCAAGCGTACCAGCGATATCCACTGTCCTTCTTATCATTACTTCTATTGTATTTTCGTCTAGAGTTGATAACTTGAATTTGCCCAGGTCAGGCTTAAATGTGACACAAGTATAGTCTGATGCATTCGTACCAACATTACTGATGATCGGATCATCCACATCGTTCATGTTATTCCGCCAACACTAAAGTGAAGATCAGCATTAGTTAATAAGCGAATTCAGCAAAATTTACATAACAGCGACATTTTCAGAATAACAAAATGAGAACATGAAAAAGAAACGGTAAAAGAAAATAAAAGAATTAGAATTAAATTTTAAAATGATCTATCTCAAGCTAGGTCAGAAAAAAAAGGCACATATATAATTAGAGAATATGCAACGCAGTATAACAGGAATATTGATTTACTTGAAAAAAGCGCAACCCAGACTGCTTCGTACAAGTTTCTACGGCAAATTCCGTGCTAAATATATTGCACAACTTGGCACCGAATCCATTCCTGCCACCTGTAATTTTAACAATTCGGTTGAAAGCTCATGCTTAACTTGTGTTTCTCTGCTAACATTGAAAAAAAAAAAACTTTTTCTAAACATAAGAAAATTATGTTTTAAGTCAAGCATCTACCAATAATGAACATGAATAAATTGAATGCAGTGCTTTTATAAATTTAACTTAGTGCTGTAAAAAGTAGAGAAACAGACTAATATGTAGCATTTAATTTGAACTAACCGACTATTTTCAGTTCAGAATCGTCATAATTAGATGAAGTAAATAGGGTGCCAAAAATCATTGTAGGAACATAGATCCCTTCAGTCGGATGAACCTCCACTGGTATCCCACGGCCATTGTTCCAAACCGATATTGTGTTCCTTTCTCTAAATAAAAGATCGAGATAGAAGGGCTAAAATTAATAACTGGTCGATGAAGTGTTTTAATCATTACGAGTTGCTAGAAAAAACTGCCAGAAATGTAACGAAATACGAAATTCGAGTAAACAATAAATTTATTTGAAAGTGGGACATCGTCCAAAAATAGCTGAATCTCCCATTATTTACCAATAAACTTCCAATATATGGTAGTGAGTTTAACTGTTACCAATAATTTATTGAAAAACAGAACCAACCTATCAATATTAACAGCAATAACGGTCATTTGTGGATCTCTCCTCTTGTTGTCAGCTGCATTAACCAGAATTTCATCAAAGATTTTCAATAAGCCAGGAACAATTCGTGCTTCCTTTTTTAGTATTTGCTTTCTTATTGCATCGTAAACATAAACTGACTAAAGATACGAAATACGCAAATTACAAAAAGAAAAAGATAGTCATCTGACGTAATTTTTGAAAAATTTAGTGTTCAAAATTCTTTATTAATAAACTTTCATAAAATAATCTGTACAAATGCGACATGAAGAAAACAAACTTGCTCGTCAGATAAAAAAGCAGAACCAATATAACTATCTGGTCGATAAAGTATGTGTTTCAGGGGAGTTAATCTTTGATACTTCTCCGCTGAAAACTTCGTAATACCTTGCTGTTCCGATTCATATGAAACTGAAAATCTTTGAATACAACGCTAATAAAGTTATTGAATCATTACATTTCCATATCTATTTATATTCGTTGCATATTGATAATATCAAATAAAATGATTTCAGCACTTCTACCATAAATATTTTCAAGAGCTGGTCCTTGTCCACTGATACAACTTTCTAGAAGATCTACAGATCACAATAATCTCGTTTCCTTCTTCTTCAAACAACAATATCTCTGAGGTGAGTAAAACATACTAACCACTACTGCTATTAACAGCAGGCTGATAGCAATGAAAAAGCAGTCGTTGATAACGTTCAGACGAAAGTATTCTTAAATGTAAATTTTTCTTTGAAATAACCAATGATCGTTTGGTACTCTCCTTCAAGAGTATCCTTTGAATGTATTCCATCCCAGTATCGAATCTAAAATTGAAAAAACTTCACAAACCGAGCCTCCGCCAAGTATCACCTCTCATATCGGATCAGAATCGTCCAACTGTGAAATAAGAATGCTCCTTAACAAACCGATGCCCGAAACCGAACATTGTCACCATCAGAGAAGGACAGATGTAGCGATTGGATAAGGACAGTTAATTGATGTATTCTCATGCGGGATTTGCAAATGGATGAATGAGCAAGGATTTTAATTGGTGATTTTGAACTGAATTTGAAATATTCAGTCCGAAGTAATGCTTCTCTGAACTTGATACGGATTGAATTTCAATGTATCGAAGTAAGATTTAGTCTTATTTGAAAGAATATTTATTCAAATATTACTTACCATGAATACAACATCACAGAGCAAAAGATAAAACACATAATCGGTATAGTGTACATAATCGCAAATTAATGGTGAAACAATTGCAAGTTGGAGTGATCATCACAATTTATTTAATTACCCATCAAAAGTCAATCACGCTGAGACAAATTCAAAAACATGTGAATAAAACATTTCAACCAGTACCTTTTCTAAAATCTCACATCTTCAAAGTTAACCTAGCAATAACACATATGACTATTTATAAAAACAACAGCACAGTACGAAAGATAATATTGATGAACAAAAGAAAATACACAATAACAAATTTTAAAAAACTAAAAAACACAATTTTTTGGCAGAAACATATCACAACATAGACTAAAATCTATATATCACAATTTAAATGAAATATACAACAATGAGTTAGTGAGGCAGTCCATGGTGTAACCACAGTTCCCACCTGCACTTTGACAGGCAAATGAAGCTACCTGTCTGGAACTCGTCTACTTTTTGCTGAACTTGGCTATGAGAATTTTCATTAACAATGTGATATGTGATTATACTTACTCATACTCGTTATCGTATAGAGTTGGGTATTTTATCATAATTTATTATTCTTTTTCTCATGCGACCACCAAAAAATCTTTTTTTTTGATTCTATTATAAAGGTCGAGCTCGATACCCTTACCACTTTATCAATTATTTAACAGAGCATGCAACATTCCATTATTTGTAATGAAGAAAGAAAAAGATGAAATAATTAGTGCTTGACACTTTCTAATTTGTTCCTTATATAACTAATTCATTTCGCAAAATACTTTGCACCTAATTTTAATGTGAGGTATTTTCTTTCAAATAATATGAGTGAAAAAATGTGAAGATATAGAAAGTATGATCTCCAGAACTTTAGAAATCAAATCCTCTGGATTATAAACATATTAATATCAAAGTATTTCAATAAGTAACTATGAAATGTATAGGAACTTTGGCTAAGCGCAAATAATTTCGTCTTTAGAAGATGAACTTACAAACACAATCCATGCTGAATGACCGTCCATAGGATGCCTAAGAGACGAAACCTCCATAAAGATCTCATAAGCCTAATCAATGAATCTGTAAAGGCAAAGGATCAATATCTCAATTAATCATTGATCTCAGGAGAACTGATAGCGAAAACTGATTTGAGAATTTTTTAAACAATGTAAAAAAAGTTCTGTTTCGGCGGTGATTTCTAGCCATTTATATTTTCTCTTGGAGTGAATTGAACTAATAAATTTATATCAAATCAGACACACTGGAACTAAAACAAAAACCCGTAGAGCCCTTCATTCATTCAGTAATATACAAGACAGCTACTTGGAAGAAGATATGCATCGATCACGAGCGGTTGATGCTATTTGTTGCGCTGCTTTTCCGCGGCAGCCGAGGTGACTGAAAGTAGCTCAGTAATTTGAAACATCTTAGATATACATAAGAACTTAAATCTCACTTGTTTTATGTATTTAATATTAGAAATGAAGAAATATGATTATACAAAGCTTCGAAGATCGCTGATAAAATAAAATTTAATTGTTACCAACTAGAAGAGTGGAGAAAAACAAATCTGATCCAATGCTAGTACTAACCGTCAAATAGAATCCATTACTAGTACTATATGCATAGTTGCTAGTACCGACAGTGACTTAATTTGCTGTTTCGCTAACATGTAAGACATTTCAAAATGATTACCATGCAATTGTTGTTGGACATTTCGCTATGTTGTTGCCTTGTTACTGAACATTTTTGGGTTGTTTTCGCAATTGACCATCGTGCAGATACCTTATGTTGCTGAGTTCCGCTACTTGCACTTGACGCCACCGATGCCTGAATAAAGTCACAATTACAATCTCATAGCCGACCAATAAATCCAACATTGTTAACGTGTTAAAAAAGCATATTTTTGTCTAATGATCCAATCAGTTACCAGATATATTATCATTACTATAACAGTACAACACTTCTTTTTATCCATTAGTCTATTTATTAAAATATTCAACTCTCAATTATAAAAAAACAGGTTATTCGTCTTCAGTGAAGCTAACCGGCATTCTGTGTTATGTGCTTTATCAAACAATAGATCAGAAATATTGCTGATGAACAAGGCATACCTGTTGTTGACCGATACTTGGTGTTCGATTTAATTCACCTTTGATAAAACGCTCTACTTTATCCATACAAGCTTCTTGATAATCATGTACCCAACGTACACCATTGTATCGCGTTATGTGTCGTATATCAGCTGGCAAATCAGTATCGGCGGGAAAATCAAAATGCTGATCAAAAATCGGTATCACATTCTTATGATGATCAAAAGCACATCGTAGCTGGAACACAAATTACTAGCTAAGATTTAGACTGCCAAATTTTAGTCATAGAGTTTCATTTTCTTGCAGTTATAGTCCTGGGTCCTTAAACATTTCAAAACTACTGCCTATAGAAAACTTGAAACCATTAAGATAGAAAGAATCTAGAAGAAATTCGAAATATTATATTGAGAGAACACGATCAAATTCGCACGTTGTAAAAAAAGAAAAAGTTGAAATAAACAAAACTAAATGAATACTTCCGCATTAATTCTCTACTTCTTATTCTCAATCACTAAATAAAACCTCCAACAAACCTCTTTATGTATCCAGTCTTCACAGTTATGATCATTGAATAACCTATCTAAAGAATTTGGGGTTAACACAAGAATGAAGTGCTTTGCTGCCTGGATATTTTTTAACAATGACGAATCAAATTTACCAGCATACAATTTGTCAACATCAATGAATACCTGCAAACAATATTTACAATAACACAATGGCAGACATGAAACAATATAATAAACATTATTTGAAGTGAAAAATCCAGTTCAAAATTTAAAAGCGAAATTTATCACTGTTCATAAGAACCAAAAAGATATTGCACAAAAAGAACAGTAAACAATTAGTTTGTCAAACATTTTATTGATATGGTAAAAATTATTAGCATCAACTGAAACTTAAGAAAAACAGAGATAGTGCTAGGTTTTCACATCTCGGTAAGTTGTGATGTGCTCTCAACAGCATAGAGAAATATGTTTAACAGATGGAATAGGGAGATTATATTGAAAATTCTGTATAAGTCCATCGAAATGAAAATAAATATTAACCTTATATCCTCTAAGTTGAAGTAAAACTTTGATAAGGCTGGCCAGCTGATTACCCGTACTGCGTCGATAACTTATGAATACATCAATTTGCTTACTTAATATCGCAACTTCAATGTCATCGATATGTTTGCTGTCTAAAAATTTTGCAATTCCAAGAAGTAATATTTCATAAAATTTATTATGATTTGACCAACGAGAATTAGAATTAAAATTCCAATTTGGCATCTGATGAATCATTTTATTTAAGTCTTACCTTGCAATGCTTGCCTTAGCTTGAGCCTGTGAATAGGATTATGCATGCCGCACACAGTCTTCATCATCTCATCAGTTAACGATGGCAACAAACTACGATTTAGACCCATACCAAGCATTTGATATGTATAAACTGACAATTCGGGGCTTAACGACATCAGGAACTGATCTAACTGACTTTCATCTACACTTCCGTAGTCGGCTGCGATCTGGAAGTGCTTCGAATTTAAGAAGCGAATACCGACTAGTAATTAATCACTACTAAATCAAGAATTTAATTGTTCAATTTTCAATCAATAGCTAGTCAACAGCATAACTATTTTTATTACATCTAACTATCAAAATTTTAACCAAAATCATTCGGTAGATACAAATCTTTGAATTAAAAGCACATTTCCTAAGAAAAAAAACTTACTTTAAGACTTTCTAGCTCACGGATGAAGCGCTTTCTAAGAAGGGCGGACGACATTTGAAGATCTTGTTCAAGCTCTTTTTCAGTTAGCAACAACAGTAAATCACCATCGACCATATGTTTCGCAAAGGCATCTGCATAGGATTCAAAACCAATCTGCACAGATTTATATAAAAGTTAAACATAATAAGAAAGATTTTTAATATAATGACTGCAGAATAAGGTTATAAATTTATCAGACTTTGATTAAAATGTATTCATGAAAAAAAGACATGAAAAAAGATATTATAAGATGTTTGGGCCGTAAAATTTTCTTTTTCAAAAATTTGATCTAATTAAGTAAAAAAGTGAAAGCCTCAGATCAACTACGTTAACTACGAAGCGAAAAATAAGGCTATAAAGTAATAAAAGTCAAATATTGGAAAAGATGCGTAGTGTTATCTATAGAAATAAGTGACACTGCGCATCATCTCCAATAGGCATTCTGTCAAGTCAAAAGCATTTTATATGAATATTTTGTTTCAAAATTTTGAGTTTCTAATTTTCGTATACAAACCATTCTCGTACTTTTCCTATCTAAAAACAGTTGAAATTCAAAGCAACAAAAAAAAGACAGGAAGCGTCAGGAATAAGACTTCAAATTAACCTTTTTCACCCAGTATTGCACATCGGCAATTGTCCAGCACGGAACCTGTTGCGTAAGCTTGTACGGTACTTCCTCGCCTATCACAGTTAAAGCTTCACTTGCGAATTTTGCGGCCACTTCGTCAGGACTTGACGCAATTTCTTTCAGTGCCGCTATTGCTCCTATTTCCTGCAATATTGAGTTGCATTCCCTTTAAATCTCCTCCTATCTAATTCCATCCAATCTCAACCAATTCAATTTTAAACTTTAACTTTGATTACTTTTCTTTTACTATTGAATAGCAGAAATGAAAGAGTTCTTTAACTCTCATAGTATTTATACAAATATTTTCATATACATTTTTGCAGTATATGAAAACACACACTTTTTAACGAGCAACAAATAACTAATGCCAATTTTTAAAAATTAATTCTGAATTTAAAATTGAAAAATTTGAATACCCCATAGTACCTCAACAAATTTATCATCATATGATTTTACAAGACACTGTCGTGTGCGAGAACGTCTTAATTGCACGATTATATATGGTAGTCTCATTTTAAATTATTAAAATTTTGCAGCAAGAAGTTGAAGCCAAATTAGCTGTAGCTTGCAAAATAGAATATGAAAATGCGGGATTTGAGACAAAGAAAGAAGAAGTGAAAAGTAAATAGTAATTTCCCAATTTATAGAGAGCAAAAACTAAAGTCCTGAAGACAAAATTAACTGGAAAATATAAAGCTCATCGCTATAAGGACATCTCACAGATCATCATCACTTCCAGTAAGGAAAAAATGATGGAAAATTAAACTGTTAAGCTACAATAACATGGTGACAGTGCATGAATGTATGGCATGTCTGTGTATTTATGTTTCATTTCTATATAAACAGGCCGCCCATAAAAACCATGCACTCTTTTATGTTGACGCCTACTTTTCACATTGACAGAATTTTCGAAAAAGAATTCAAAAATGAATTCCCTAGTAGTTTAAAATTCTAAAGATAAGAAATATTTTTGCCAATGACAAAAATTTGTGGAGATCGATGAGAGAACAGCACTGATTAAACGCATTATTTAAATCCAAATTCTACGGTTTTTTACTTTGACAGTCTAAGAATTCAAAACGCAGCTTAACTCACTTTAACTCCACGAAAATTTTTCGAATTTAACAGCTGATTTAGAAATTTTCGAAAATTAATTAAAGTAGATATGACTGAATTGGCTGTCTTCAAGAAAAGATATGTGAAAACTTTGTGATTTTTGAGAAAAAATCTTCCCAAACCCAAAACCCTTCGTTAATACAACGGTCAAAAAATTATGCTGCTCTTTGTATAAGACCATGGATTAGGATATGTGGCACTGAGGAAACTTGTGGCTTCATCCATATAATTTTTTCCTTTCAGCTATTTGTTCCAACGGTATGATTAAGTAATTTAGATAAAGTTCATAAAATTCTAATTTTGATTCTGACATAAACAACCCTGCATGGACTAACTGTTCTGCAACGACCATTTTATAAAAATGGAACGCTTAAGAAATTGGAAGGTTTATGCAGTAATTGTAATAACAAAAAGTAACATATTTGCATCGTTCCACCGTTATGTTTTAATAATATGACTGCTAACAACACATGACAAGCAAATATTCTCCTTTTTAAAATAAGTCGACAAAGAATCTCTTTCTACAAAAAAACCCCTTCCAGAGGAGAGGAATTCTTTAAAAGTTCCTAGAACAATTTCGAAGAATACCAGGTTACGTTCTATTTTTTCGGTTCACTGCCAAAAATTTCCCTTTCAGAAAAAAAGTGGTGGGAAAATTGTGACAATTTTTCGGACGAATAGTGACATGTCATGTCGCGGACTTTTGCCGAAAAGATATTTCGAAAATTGAACAACCTACTTGAAAAACTTCAAGTTTTTGCTGATCTTTCTTTATTGTTGCTTCCATTGTAAAGTGAAACGCAGCAATACTGCGTGCTTCGCGACACTTCGACTTGAGCATTGGCAACAACCTGAAGTAGGAACTTTTCCAGCAACTCCATCACATACAGTAAAAAACAATTCCAAACTCCTGAATAATAAATACAACCAACAGTTTCTGAGTTGCATTGTAAATCTCGATGGAAACTTAATTAATGAAGTATTTTACAGTGATATTGCTACCATTCTTCCATCCTCTTCTCTTTTCTTATACAAATTAATGTTAGTACATAGAATCTTTTTCTTATTCATTTCGGATCCAAATCATTAGAAATACGCAATTTATTATTTCATCGAGAATTGACAGGATTGTAAAGTTTTAAACCTCAAAACTAGAATTCCGATTTCAAAGATGAATAGTAATCAATTGATTAATCCGTTGATAGGTGCAGTAGGTCAGATAAGGCAACAATTAAAAATTTAATAGCAGCAACAACAATAAATTGCTAAAATATAATTTATGACAATTTGTCCTTAAATCAAATCAACAAATAAGAAGTCAAGTTCAACATTTACTGATTGCAAAAAAATATAATTGGTAATTATCAATGTGTCCACATAAATTTTTTATGTGAAACTGCACAGATAGGCCTTTTTAGGCTTGCATTGGATGATTTTTTTTTTGCTTGCAATGATTTCTAGCAGAAATCATTCGTAATATTAAAAAAAGCTAATTTATCATTACCTACATTTTACAGCCTTAAAATAATGCTTGTGCTCTGGAAGATTTCTCACTGAATTTTTGCCCATCGTTTTTCGAAGACTCTGCTGATGTTTGTCTGATCCGATATCATCTTAATGATAAAAGCGAAATAATAGTAACCTTTCAAGCCATTCCTTTGGTCGTCCTTGTGAATGCTTGTAATGATCACCGGCAAAAGTTATCGCTTGATGAGCAAGTAGGAATGGCTCTACTAATGCTAAAGTACCCGACTTATTTACCGCTGCTTCCATTTCTTTCGTACTTCCAAGCATACAAATAGCTAAGCATGCGTAGTAACGTGTAATATCGTCTGGTTGTGAAGCTAGCAAGAAGAGCCAGTCTGGCACCTGCAACTACCACATTTGAAAACTTCATTGTTTCATTCTTGTTCTTGGTTTCAACAAGTTTTAATCTGTTTTTTCAAAATTAAAGATTAGCTAAAGTTCAAAAACCAACATTTCTCTAAAATTTACAAATAGCAAATATCCTATCCAGATTGTCTTATCTAGACTTTCAATATATTGATGGAAGAATTAAATTCAAATTCTGCAATTTTCTGTAAGAAGAATTTAAATCGGTATTTTTTCAAAAGAACAATAGCGCTGCTGCTGCGGCAAAAAAAACGCTTCCTCTGATATGATTCATACAGTCTGAATGAATCGATCACTATCGGGCCAAAAATGCAAACAGTTTTTTGCATTAAAATTTCTTGTGGACAAACTGATAAAGAATATAAAAGTTGAAGGAAATCAACAAAAAGGAGATGGAAAGTAAATCAATAACTGTATCCTTTCTACATTCCTATGTACTTTATGTTAGTAACAAAGTTTCTCATTAACTTTTTTATCACTGTCAAAAACCATCATTATACAAAGTTTTACTCCCAGGGAGGAAGGTGAGAAAGAAGAGTATTTTTGGCTTCGGTCTGATAGATTGAGAAGTGATTTTGCCTCAACCATTAATAAAGATTGAAGGAAAAATAAAAGATAACAGATATGTGGCGTTATCAGAAAAATTTATCTAAAATTGCATAATGAAACACCTTTAATGACATACTGCACTGATGACTATAACATAAATGCAGTACTAGATGAGGAAGAAATTAAATTCAGCAACAGATTAACTGAAAGGAGCACAAAAATCTGACAAGAATTTTATATATTACAAATGATTCGTAATAGCTTCATAAAAACATAAGCTTGTTTTGATAACTCAAAAAAAAATGAATCATCTGGTAATGGTGAAGTCAAACATACCTTCTTCTGAATAATTTTTTTCTTTGCTTCTGAACAGCTGTACAATGACAGATTAGCAAGTGCAAGAGCAGCGTGCCGTAAGGTTATCGGTGTGTCAGTTGCACGTTTACACGTTAGCAGAATGTGATCCAAAACACCATACTCAATTAGCCTGAAAGAACATATCGTATGCACTGAAAAGCAACTGTATATTACTACTGACAACTGTTGAACTCTTAAAAATTTTGAAGTAATTAACAAAAAATTCATATTTCTATATCACTACTTTTCTCACTCATATTTACTTACTAAAAGTTAACTACCGGTAGATACGGAAAAATACCCTCTGTATTCCTCTTTTTAACATACCTATAAGTAGTAGCAGTTGAATGCTTGAATAAGCTTTCCATAATCGACAATGACATTCGTTGTTGTTCCGGATTTTTATTCAGTTTCTCAGCTGTTGCAACCAATTTTTTCAAATAACCTTTGTTAACGACATATTCTCGATTATTCAATGAAAGACATTCCTCCAACACACGTCCGCATGCTAATCGAACTGCAAAACAATTACCGCATCCAATCAAATATCTCTCAAAAACTCGAAATATGTAAAATGCAGAAATAGAACGGGCGATTAAAACAAAAAATTATTTTCTGCAAAATATGATGTGATATTCTTTTAAAAAAAAGAATTGAGAATAAAAAAGAAGAAGAAAGTCTCCCAATGCGCCTCTTTTCCCACAAACTTACAGACATAACCGCATAACACTGCTTTTCAAAGGATTTCAAAAAGACGCCAAGGTCGAACCATTTGTACTGTTATAAAAACACAAAAAATTGGTACCATTCCAGGAGATTTAAGAACAATTCTATTTGATTTAAAATTTTTTTTTATTAAACTCTCTTTGCAGAGCTTTTCTCAGGTAATACGATAAACCGAAATTATGTAAGAGACAGCGTTGGTTTCTCTCTTTTGTCCACTCATAAACATCTTTATATCTTCTTTTCCTTCCTAACGGTAACCGTAAACATTTCATGATTACTTAGCAGAGTTGTATAGAAAATAAAACTTCAATGCAAAACTTACCAGGTTCACAAGTCTGCGCCTTAATAAAATTCATAATAAGCGAATCAAAGTAATTTTGATCACGTAGAAAATCGCAAAGCGCATATGACAAATCATGCGAAATTTTCGGAAACATCCATGCTTTCGTCATAACCTTTGCTACTATAGTACAACCCTGCAGGACGTCATTTTGCTTCATATGGATTCTTTTAATAAATTTTATTATTTAATTTACATTCTCTAAATTAGAATTTTATTTTATTTCCAAGAAAAAAATACATCGCTCAAGAAAGATTCAACTAATAGATTTACTCAACACTAAATGCATCCATTCCTTATCTAAGAACCTACCAAAATATCATAAATGATGAGACCGCTGTCAAAAAGTGAATCTTCTCGAGATCAATACAGATTATCCCGGTGTGTGATATGATAGAAGGCAGGCAAGTACCATTAGTATTTGCTTATTAATTATATTTATATTTATTATATATTTTTTACACACTGGCATAAATTTGCTTCCAGAAATGATTTTTTGAAAATTACCAGTAATGTGATTATTGCTGGCGTATGGTACACTACTTCCTTTTCAAATTTATTGAAATTTCTCTAATTTAATGAATACTACTGAAATCTCCCTATTTAAAGCCTTTACTGTTTTATAAAATTTATAAAAGTACATAAATAATATGAGTAGAAATATCAGAGATTATCGACTGCTTGACACTACAATACATTTATTCCTTTACAAGTTTTTCTTACCTAAGGCCATTGACACAGATTCTAACTCTTAGTTGGAAGATATCGCTTAAATCAGACTCCTCACTGACTTTTCATTTCAAAAGAAAAATAATGGATTTCGAATTTAAAATCCGTAAAAGAAACCTCAATAATTTGTTCATCGCTGCCTTGAGCAATATGTTCGAATGCTTTATCGATGAAATTTTGATATTTTGATAATTTGGTTTTCAATGTGTGCATCATCATCACCTGTTCTGTATGCGAATGCTTCGTTAATGGTCCATTGGTTACTGTGTCCTGCAAAAGAGAAACAACTTCATCTGTACAGTTTTTTTTTTTTTACAGGATACAGCTATTTACTATATTTATTTCAAATTATTTTAAAAACAATGATTATGCAAACTTGGAATAAACTGAGACGACTGGGTGATGACGAACGTGGATCGGCAATTGGTGATAAATCATCGATTGTTACGTCCATTTCAGGTGCCGGTAATGAGCAAACTCCAGCTGATGAACTTTCACTTTTGAAGCGTCTATATTCTGATTCCTACATAAACAGATTATTGCTTTAACTCATTAAATGATACCAAATAAATGTTCCTTATATTTAGACTTACGTTTGACCTCTCGTATCAAAGCATTATATTAAGTGAAAATGGATTTATTAGTAATGGAAACGGCTAACAATAGCAACAAATGGATACTACAAAAATTTATCAGTTAAGATAATTATTTTTATATTAGATAAGAATATCAATTCCTAAAAGGACTCATTCAAATTCTACACTTACTATATCTTGTTGCAATCAATCTATCCGATATTGAAATTATCTCTTAGGTAAACATGAATGGAATTACAAGTAATCTCTGTAGGTTTGATTATTACTCCGCGGAGCATCTGTTCTTAATTCATAATTTGTTTGATTCTCCTTCCCATGTAAAAATTCCAAAATATTTATATTTGTTCGATTTAGAGTGTAATAATAGGAAGGTCGAGTACTGCCAAATGGCTCCATCATAGATGACATAAAAACATGAGCAATGACATATGCGACAACATTCTCATACAACTTTGACGTCAAAACGTTTCTATCACCTTTAACAAGCCATGTATGTTTATATAAATATAAATATGCATGTCCGTGCCACTGTATTTGGGTGTGTGTGTGTGTATAAGCATGGTGGTCTTACCAACTCCTACTTTTTTTTTTGTTCATATTTAATGTAGAAGGCTATTTCACAGTTCAGGAATCTCAATTGCATTTTGTGAAATATTCTACAGCACACCCTCGTACACTCTTAAGCACTTAGAGAAGCATTTCACGATGGAAGGAACATCTCACATTCCTTTTTCATCCTTCATTTTCCTTTTACTTATTTCATGCCATTCTTTTCTTCTTTCTTTTTTTTGGAACAACTTATTTGCAAAATTTTAAGCATTCAATAGTACTAAAGTAATCTCAAAAGGTATGGCAGAGCAGATGACATTTAAGATAATAATAATTTTTTTACAAAGAATGCAGCATATCAATAATCCTTCCTTTTTACTTTTCATCTAATTACTATGACCTGTCAATTTTGATTATAACAACTTAACTCTTCCGTAGATTTTATTTAAAAATTACTTTATAGAATAGTAGATATAAGAAAGTGAGGTTGAGAAATAGAAATTTAATAAATAGAAAACAATGATTTAAACTGAATTTCCATAAATCTTTTTATTTCAATAACGTGAAGATTATATTTGAGATAAATTTTAGAAAGAAACGATAACTTAATTTAATGTCGAAAAATTCCAACCAACAAACGTCTATGAACATGATTGAAGTACACCAGTAATAATTATATTACGGTAGCCTTTCTGTTTTGCTCTGTCAAACATTTTTTGTAACTTCTGTACTGTCTCATAATAATTATAACAAAAAATAAAAGAATGGACAGAGAGAGAGAGAGAGAGAGAGAGAGAGAGAGAGA